AGCCGGGGCTGTTTGTGAAGGCCTTCACCTTGTGTGATACCAAGTGGTGCTATTGGAGGGCTAAGAACTGGGCTTCTTTCAAAACAGTCAAAAACAATATAAAACGAAGATGAGAAAATGTAAAATATTTCCTTCTGAGAAATAAAGGGGGTGGGGGGACAGGGAAGAGCTCTTGTGCAAGGCAAAATGCAGGCTCGTGCCTCTACCTTCAGGCTTCCTTGCAAAGGCCTGTGTTAAATTTTATGATTATATTTTCCAAAGTACGTTTTTGTTTGTACCATGGTCGACAACTCGTGTTTTGTATTCCAGGTTGCAGTCGGCTTGCAGGGGTATGTGAGTGTGTCTGCGAGTCCGTGATCTGATCTACCGAGGTCTGGTGGACTGCTCACGTGCTGGTACCAGGTCAGGGCTGTGCAGTCAGTACTGGGAGGCTTAGTGACTTTGCACAGTGTTAAATTGTGCATTATCTGGGTGTCCTGGCTCTTTTTCAAGACCTATAAATACTCTGGAAGCTGGCCTGGTTTCTTGCTCAGGACCGTGGCCACGGTGCATGTACACACGTGCTTCGCAGGGAACTCCTCGCTTGGTCCAGCGTGTACCAGTAGTTGGTCTGCTTTTCTAAAGTGATGGTGGAGAAATCACCATCAGAATGGTTTTATTTATTTATTTATTTTTACTGATGAGCCATTGCATATCTCATCGGTATCCCCCGGGTGTCCTTCCCTCAGACCCAGCGCCGTGTAAGCAAGCTGAGCCATCCAGTGCAGGACTGGGGATGTAAAGATGAGGGAAGTGACCAGGATTGTGACGACTCAAAGTTAGGAAGAGCTGGGAGCTGGAACAGCAGAGCAGGCGCAGAGCTGTGGGCTGGCTGGGCAGTGATCCAGTGTCTGTCCATTCGTCCGTCTGTCTGTCTGCAGCAGCCTGAGGTGCTGGGCAAAAAAAAAAAACAACTGTTTTTATAGCAGACGCTGAAGAAGGCTTTTGGACTCCAAAGGAAATGCTGCCTCTGGAGTTTCTCTGCGGATGTTTCTTCCAGCTGGCTGAGGCTGGAGGAAGGAGTCCCTCTGACATGGGCAGCTCTCTGCAGGGCAGTTTCCCTTTCTGTGCTGTGCTCCCCTGGGCACCGAAGGCATTTCTGTGACACAGCCGGGAGCTGGTTCATTCCTTTCTGCTCTGATTTAAAGCAGATAACAGTTCTTGCCTGTTGCCAATCATTAGAATGAGTTTTTTCTCTTTTGGTCCAATTTCAGGCATCCTTTGGAGCTTACGTCATTGACTATTCAGTTCTTTGGAGCATGAGCCATGGGCAGGCCACACTTCCCATAAATAAGGGAGCTCAGGCACTGAGCCGGGTCCGTTGCTGGAGGTACACGATCACCTTCCCTCCTGTGTGCTGTGAGACATGTGGCACTGCCTCTGCTGGCTCGCGGCCAGGTGTTGGAGCCCATTTAGCCGTGGATGGACTTGTTGCGTGTGTTCTTCATCCATCACAAGCCCTGTCTGGACTTGGCAAGCACCGCCTGGGCCATGGGCAGCAGCCCTGCCAGGTGAGCCGTTGGCGGCTGGGCTCGGCTGGAAGTCTTCTTCCTGCAGGTCTCGAACGCGATTCAGCCGTGCCAAGCAGCAAACTGCGGCTCCGCTCACGTGCGTGCAGCAGCGGAAACAGTTTGACACGCAAATCAGAAATGTCACTTCATTTAGCCAACGACTCTTGGCTGAGAAAGACCTGGACTTGTGCTCGGACCTGCAAGAGACCAGATGGCTAATGTGGTCATCAGCCACCGCACCGTAATCCCACAGCCAGACTTGGCTTTCCGCAGAGGTCCGCGAACGGGAGTGAAATGCAGAATGTTAAATACAAAGCAAAGCAGAACCGCTCCATTACAACCTGCAGTGATGGGAATTCAGTGCTGCTTTTAAGCAGCAGGGTTCTTAACTCCAGGCTTTTTCTATTTGGTTTTATTTCCCAAACCCTGCATTATCTTGTTAGGAGAGACATTATTTCCCTTTGGTAATTTCTCTTCCCTTCCTCAAATCTCCCGCATTTTTTAAGCTCGCAGTGGGGAGATTAGAATTTATAGTTGTTGGAGCTCCGTCTTTCTCTATTTTCCCCCTTTCCTAATTCTTCAACTCATCATGTTCAAATAGTGCTAATTAAATCTGTTCTCGCTTAAAATGTGGCCCTGCCTTCGGTAGGCACAATTACAGCTGGACTCTCCTGAAGCTGCACAACCTTGGCAGTATTTCAGCAGAAGGCAGTGGCACTGGGGTAAGCTGGTCGAGAGATCCGAGTCAGGCCTCTGGTTATTGGAGTTGTGTGCTCTGCTGTCTGTCAGAGCTGGTTAGCTCACGTGTGAGGTTACGTGAGCGCCAGCACATCGCTCTTCTGGGTCACCTCAGAGCCTTTGGGATCCCCTGCACTGCCCCTCGGTTTTGGGGAGGGTTTCTTAGTAGGGTCCAACCCACGGTGGCTGTGTGCTGCACCCAAAAGGGTGCCCGTGGATGTAAAAGAGCAGAGCCAGCAGCCAGGGTCCCTGCATTATTGCTCTTTGCTGTCAGGTTTATCCCAGCCTTTCAGTACCTAAATAATGAAAAATTGCTGGCAGATTCCTGTGAAGGCCTTGGCTGGTGTGTATTAGGAGAAGAGGGAGCACAGCCCAGATCAAGTCTCCGGTGTGGATGTCTCCTTGGAGGTGATATTGCAGCCACCTGAGTTCAGCAGCTGCTTCCAGCTGGCTGTGGCACTTTTTCTCACGTTCTGTCCTGGACTCCTGTATTCCTGGACTCAGCTGTCTTCTAGAAGTATCTGGATTTAATAGCGTGAGTTTTTGTCCCCATGGCAGAGGTTTTGGTACCAGCCCTTGCACTCCTTTCAAAAGGAGCAGCCAGAGACTGTGCAAAGTCTGCAGGAGGCTTTGCTGTTGCAATTGACCCATGATACAGCAGCACTCTCAAATCCTGAGATAGATTTGTAATTTGAGAATTCTTCAGAATAAAAGACACATGTACTGTATCAATGTAAGCGATACCATTATTATCATTGCTAGGTCTGTGCTGAGCAACACTGCTGGGAAAAGATCCCAGAAGAAGTTGCCTTTCTATTCCTCTTGGGATATAGAGTAGGAGACTTGCTTAGGCCCAAGAAAAACTGCTTCTGTGCCTGCGTCTGATTCATGCTGCATAGTTAAATGCCATGGGAAAGCACTTGTAATACAAACATTTTTGTTTATAGGCAGACATTTAATTATCATATTACAAAATCCTCAGGCCCAGCTGCCACATGAGATTTCTGGCTAGGACATTTAACATAAAATTAAAACACGGCGTCACATGCCCGTTTAGCTGGAAATCGGAGCAGAGTATTTGCACTTTCCTGTTCTCTGGAAAGAGCTTCCTGGATGATATTTCTGTGCAGATTAGTCATGAGAAGTCGGCATGCTCTAAGCTTGATGACGTCTTCGAGACGGGATCAGAGAACAAATATTGTGATCTGTTCAGCATGGGCTCCCTGCGAATGATTGCATTTCTTCTTCAAGGAGTCTGGTTGTTCGCTAGGATTGGAGAACCAGGCATCTGCAGAAAGGAAACCTAAAGTGGATTGTTTTCATTCTTTGGAATCCAAAGTTGTCTTGATAGTCCTCAAAGCTTTGGGAAAATGTTAGCTGCTCCAGTAGGCAGGGGAAAACAGCGCTAGATGTCAACAACTTTCCCTAAAGTAAAGCCTTGGAAGCCTACTTCTAATCTCACATGGTTTGCAAGATTAAATACTTTTCTCAGGCAAGTAAAGATTATATTTGCGACTAAATGTGTTCAAGGCTGGTTTTTCTCCCTCATCTCTCTTTGCTCTTTCCTGACTTGCCAGAGTCTGAAACCAGCAGCATTGCAGTGCTCTTCTGGTGCTCAGCTGCAAGGATGTCTGCATGAGTTAAGTGTCCAAATCTCTCTGAGGATCTGGCTTTTCAATGGGAGTTTCTGAAATATTGGCATTGGGGAATACAGGGATGATGACCAAAAGAAAAAATTAAAAAATTCCTTTCTTATGGCCATAATGAAAAGAAATCTGCTGGTTTTCTGGTCCGTTATAGTGTGCATTGTCAGGAAATTAGCCTCCAACATCTTCCTACATCACAAACAGGAGATGAACTGGCAGGAACATTTCAGTGACATTTTTGGAACATAAAATCCCCTTTCCTCTGCGGGGAGGGATTGTTTCAAATGTCATCTAAAAATTTCTGAGGGACACTCTGCCTTGCCAGTGTGCTGTGTTCTAGGATGGATGAAAATCAAATGCTCCAGACCAGGCCACGTACTTATCTCAGGATCTTCCCTCCGTTCTTACCGCTCACATCTGCTCCTGCGGCACCAGCCTCTGTCTGCAAAGCCATAAAGAAAACAGAAGAGCATCGTGTGTCTGTCTGATAACCCCGTAGCTGTGGGACTCCCGGGAACAGGAGCTGATGTCCATAACTCAGCGGGCTCTCTGGGACTGTGGCTGGTGAGTCAGCTCTCCTGAACACAAGCCGGAGCGATCTGCACTCAGGCACTGCTGTGCACACCTGGCACGAGCCATAAAGTGGGCTGCAACCTTTCAGTGCTGGCTCGGGGCTTCGCAGCAGTGTAGGTAAAATGAGGTTAAAGCAGAGCAGCCTGGAGGAGAGCCCTGGAGAGCTGAGCTGCTGGGAGGCTGCTGCTTCAGCTGGGCAGCATCTCCTCCCTGCAAACACGGCCACGGTTCTGTATGCGCCTCTCTCATTTGGTGCCAGCACGTAGGAAAAGGAAAACTCCTTCTGGCTTTGTAGATACCGTACTGTTCTCTTTTTTCTTCAGCATCTGTGAAGCAGCCCCAGGGTCAGTGGCCATCCTGGGCAGTGACCTTCACATCTGCTGGGAGCTCTGTTGATATTCAGGCTGCAATTATTTTTTTTTTCACATTTCCCTCCTCCTTACCCCAAGGTTGTAAAATTTTTTTTTCTTTTTTTTTTTTTTTTTTTTTTCAGGCAGTGCTGTAGCATGAAGAAATCCAAACTCACGTCCTCCTGTTGCAATGTAATCTGCTGGGGGAAACCACGTGGATGTTTTGAAAGAGCGGGGGTTTCTTCACAGCTCAGACCGATTAGCGTGGCTGAAATGGGACTCGAATCACAGAGCAACTGCCCTGTGTTGCCACACGGATGTGATGAAAAATGACCCACAGTTCATCAGAAACACAGCTCAGCCTTTAACACGTTGGGCTAATGCCTTGGGATGCTGAAGAAAACATCTCAGAGATGAGGGGAGAGGGAAGGAAATTAAATATAGAAAATAGCCAGCGTAGCAGCTGCAGAGCTTGTGACGGGCTTCCAGGTTGAAAAAAGGAGTCCTGGACAGTTTTTTGCAGCTGCAGTGTTGTGACCTTGGAGTTGCAATGACCTGGGCACGCATCTTAGCCTCTTATCCGAGGCTTTATCTGAGGAAAGAAACAGGCAGTGCTTACTCACGTTCATGTTTCTGGGCTGCCACCCAGGCTGGGAGGGCTGCGTCTCAGCATGGTCAGCAGGCTTGGCAAGGTGGGGTTCACACCGTGCTGCTGGGAGTTGTCTCTTGTTGTCCTGGCTGTCTCCAGGAATGAAAACTTTGCATTTCCCAGAAATGAGGCTTGTGTTCACCCAGCACGGAGATGGTAGCCTCGTGGGGCTGCCGAGATATCTGCCAGGGACACGTTGTGTGGGCTGACCTAACCCTCACAGACGTGACTTGCAGAAAGGAAATCTTTTTCTCCGAAAACCATCTCTGGTTCCTCTTTCACTCGGAGTGCCTGCAGCACCGAGCACTGCAGGAGGCGCAGGCAGGGCTGGACCAAACCCCCCGAGCTGTGAGGCCAGGCAGCGCAGAGCCTGGCCCTGCCACGGGACTGGCTGAGAGCCTGGCTGGGATGTGGCCCCGCACGGGCTGGCTGAATGAGTGGGGTATCCTCAAGCCATGACCACTAGCAGGTTTTTTTTTTTGTTTGTTTGTTTTTTTTACCATGAAAATCACATTTTTTTCCTGCTTTTACAAGTTCTTTTGTTTCACAGCCTTGAGTTGCTGCAGCCTCGCCTGGAAGATCGTTAGGAGCAGCCGAGTGAAACTGTGACCAAGTGGCACTGGGCAGGAGGTTGAAATATTGCTGTCGGCTTCCAGCAGAATTTTGTAAAGTTGCACAAAATTGGGGGCTTATTTTTATTTTAAGTCATAATTAAACATAAAAAGAGGGTATATTAACAACGATTAAAACTATTTAATGGAGTTTATCACATAATTAAGGACTTCTCTAGGATTATATTTGAGCAAATCCTTGGCAAAATTGTATTTAAATTCCAAACAACTTTTTTCTCAGCAGTATTATTTCTAAATTTCACATCTTTTCAATTTTTTTTCTCAGTTGCGTCAGCCAGTTAGAAAATGCTTAACACTTTAACCCCGTCAGATTTCCTGCAAGACTCGCTGTTCATTACACTGCTGTCGGGTCCTTGTGATTTCAGCTGACTGTGATTAATAATATTTGATTTTAATTACTCGAGGTGCATTTCTTGTTTTTCAGAAGTGTGTTTGTCACTTGCAGGAAGCACCGTTGACTCTTTAATCTTCCACTGGGGGAATGAATCCTGCCGGGTTCACATTTTAAGCTCTGTGGGACCAGAGGGGACTGGACTGCTTTGCTTTGCACCCAGCAATCACCACTTCAGCCTGTGCAATATTTGCCTTTTCTGCTGGATTGTGTGACTCTCAAAGCATCACCATGGTAGACAGTTAAACGATATTTAAACTACCTTAGGATTCGGATGACTGCAAAACCCGAAACCTCTGTGGGCTCCCATATGCCTCGCTGCGTTCGCAGCACACAGCCGGCAATCTGTGCAACAGCCCATCGCCGATGGGAACACAAACAAGGGCTGTCAGAAAATTTCTGTTCAAAGGTCAGTGGTAAATGATAGACACTTCAACGCTGCTTTGTCTCTGTTCCACAAGCTGGAAAAGAATAGGATTGGATTTTGATCAAAGAATTCTGCTTTATTCCCTCCAGTCATCAGCTTTATGGTACCCCAAGATGTATGGTTGATAGGAAAGGAAGATCTTTGACAGTTCTTTTATTTATTATTATTTTTTAAATCAACTATTCATGTACAGTGAGCACTGTTGGTTTTGGCTGGGAGTCAGTGTGTTTCTCCCAATGCTTACCAAAGCCTGAAAGCTGAGATTGCTCCAGACCCTCTAATATGCCAGCTCCCTGGGTGCTTCTGATACTGTCAGCTGGGGCGGGTCAACATGCCATCAGTGAACATCGGGCTTTTGGTTTTCTTTTCAAACAAGGGCACTGCAAAGGTCCTTCCACAGTGAGCCCAGCGAGCCAGTTTCTGAACAGAGAGCTGTGGGTAGTGCTCACGCCTCTGAGCCATGGAGAGGAGTGTCCTGGCTGGCAGGATGGGAGCAGAGTCACGTTAGCTGTGGGCTGCAGCTGCAGAAGTCTTACAAACCTTTTTGACTCAGATCAGCTCCTGCTTTTGTAGGTTCCCATTGAATTTATGGCTCTGGTCACTGCTCTTAACACCCAAATAGCTGCCTCAGACACTTCTCACTCTGTCCAGCCCAGTTTCCATTGCAGCAAACTTTACCCCTTGATCTGCCTGAAAACAGAGTTGTTTTCATTTGGATGGTCACATCCAAGAACAGGTTCAGCTTAAGAACAGTGTTTCCATGTAGGGACAGATTCTGCCACTGTATTTGAGACCTCGGAATTATTCTGTGTTAGGGATCAGAACCCCATGTGCAAGGTGCTGTACAAAAATAAGACATACAGGTAGCTCCTGTCTCATGGACAGTGTGCTATAAATTTAACAACACATTTTAGGGTACATCCTTGCTTCTCTTCATTGACAAGATCAAGATGATCTTCAAATGAGGAGTTAAATGATCCAAATTCTGCAGAAGTGGAGGAAAATGTCCATGTTCTTTTAAACCATAAGAAAAATCTGTTTTGTTTTCAAGATGTACTTCATTTTCAAGAAAGCCCACTCCTTCCTGGCCACCTGTACTGAGTCTTCTTCAGCTCCATCTTTGTGCAGCACAGTGTTGCAGCCTGGCCTGATGCAGCAGTTGAAGCGAGTAATGAAGGCGTCATGTTTGAAGGTAATTAAAGATTGCTGCTCTCAGCCCTTGCCCAACAGTGTACCCTGTACACGATGTGCCTCACTGGAGGCTTCGCCCTGCGTTTTAGCGTTGTTTCACTTCTAATGGGCCTTCCACGTCCATTACATCCCCTGAGTAATGCGTGCATGGAGGACAGTGCAGTAAGTGACTTCTCCCTAATCTGATTTCTGATTCTTAGCGGCCTGGATAGACCAGCATTAGTTTGCTATTTCAATCTGATCCATCAGCCCTTTGCTGCACAGGGCTGCTCTTTTATATCACTTACGTGGTGAAATAAAACCGGCTTGATTCGGTTGGTCTCCAAAGCGAGGCCAGCCAGGTCATGTGTGTGCAGAGCAGAGATGATTAACAGCTTCCCACTGTGCCAAACCGAGTGCAGGAGCTGAGCAAAGAGGTCTGCTGCAGGCCAGGAGCTGCTGGGGAGAAAAGGGGCCTCTGCAGGCTGTGAGCAGTGTGATGCAATGCGGTGGGAACTGCTGATGCACTGAATTAATACTTTGTCTTGCTGCTGGCAGGATTCTCTTGATCCCTTTATCACCAGTTCTGCAATTAATGGCTAATTTCTGAATGCACTTTGAAATAGAAATCCAAAGAAATGTGCTGCTTCTAACGTACATGATGTAAGTTAGTTAAATCAGTTACCAGATATAGCTGAGAACAGAGTGTCAAGGTGGGGACTGGGATGGTTTTGGGGCTGGAATATCATTGCTCTCTCCTTTACAAAGAGAGATTCTCCCTGCTGTCCAAGTCCTTGCTGATGCATTGTAGTCTGTCCCCAATTAAAGGAACTGAGTTGGGTGGAAGGATGCTGATGTTCCATCAGAAGCTCCTTCCTGGGAATTAGGTGAGGTTGGTAGTTCCTGGGAATTGGGTTAGGCTGGGCATATGCCAGACTCGTGGGCTCCCGAGCCTGGAAGGATGTTGCAGACAGACGTAGTCATTACCACCTACCTTTCCTTCAGAGCAGCTGGCTCAGGAAAGGCACAGCGGGGCAAGTCACAGCGCTGACAACATAATGAGACAAGGGTCGGGGTAAGAATAGCTTTGGGACCAGTGATTTGACTTGTTGGATCCTGGAAAAGACCTGCTTGAGTCTGATGGAGTTTGGATGCGTTCCCGATTCCCTTTGAGCTTCCCCTTTCTCGTGGCTCCTTGTCAGATCTGTTTGTTGCTCAAACCCACTGAGATTTCTTTACTTGGCATTGCTGGACTGCATGTCCAAACCGAGACCTGAAATTCCTCCATCCTCCCTCGCTCTGTCCACCGGCCCCAACCTGCATACAAGCACATGATCTCCTGAACTTCAGTGAATTTGCCTAGCAGGGCAGGAGGATGAAGAAAACAGCCTGCTTCTTCCACGTTCGATGTGTGTGGCTGACAGTGGTGGTATTCTACTTGGCTTTTTTTGTCAGCAAACAAAAACCAGAGACGTTTGGGAGTGATTTTTTCAAGGGCTGTGATCTCAAAGGCCTCTCGCAGCTTTGCAAACTCTTTTGCAAAATCCAACAGCTTTGACAGCTCCCGGGTAGGGTTGCACAGAGCTTGGAGTGGCATGCGAAGTCGTCCTGCTGCTTGTGTCACCCGTTCTGATGCACCAGCAGCTCTCAGCCTGCCTGCACAACACAGGTCTGAAGCGAGGGCGGAGGTGTGCAGGCTGGGGAAGGGTGGATCGTCCCGCGAGCTGCCTGTCTCCATCTGTCATATGCCAGCGTCAAAGGTCTCTGCCGTGACCTCTGAGGGCAGCTGTGCTTAGCACGGGGATGAAACTGCCTGTATGACAAATTCCTATGAGCTGCACCTCGTCACTCTGACCGGATTTAGGATCTGGGAAGGCGGATAGGTTCCTTTCCGGCAAAGTCCCCAGTAAGTTGGTTTAAGTCAGGAGCTTTATGAGTGCCTCGTTAACGCCACTTTTCTCTAGCTTGGCTTCAGTCACAGAAACGTGACGGAGGTAGGCACGGGGTGAAATGGTTCCTGCACTGCTCAGAAGCTGGTGACCTGTCCTTGTCCCTCTCAGCAGCCAGTGAGCAGGACAGGGCTGTAGGAATTCCCTGACTTCCTCGTGGGCCATGAGAAGTTACAACTGCTATATTGGGATTGTGAGCTGACCCTAGGATTGATGGATACGTGTTAGGAGGATTACTGTAGTGCTGTTCAAGTGTTTGGAGGTTTTGGGTATAAAGGCTTAAACCTTGGCTTTTATAAAGGGATTGAACCTGGGTGTCTGAGGCCAGGAGCAAAAGAATTTACCACCTTATAGAGAGAACCATGAGATGGGTAAAAGTGGTTGCAGACTGCACACAGTGAATTTGGTGCAGAGCAGGACAAGGTAACGAGGATCGATCAGTAAGCTGTATTTGGAGAGTTTTCCAGGGCAGGCTTATGAGAAGGACAGAGAGCTGCTAAAATCGCTGCCCCTTATCGTGTCTGTCCCTGACACCAAGAGCTTTAGGGCAGGGTGCGTGAATGTTGTGGTGCTTGCAAGGTCTGGAGCCAAGATCTGAGCCAGGGGGTGTTCACCTATTGTGTTCTGATTTTCTTCCCCAAAGCTCCTGTGTCTGTTCCCTCATGTCTCAGGTAATGAGAAGAGCATTCGGTAGCCTACACAGCAGCACAATCTTACGCCTCTTCTCCATTTCCAAATCTTTGTCTCTGTTGTTCTACTTATGGGCGGATCACAAAAATAATTACCTAAATTAACCAAGCACCAAAACACCCTAAGTGATCGTCTGCTCCAGAGAATAACAGTGATTAGGTCATCCTCTTTGCTTATCTCGGGTTCCCATCCTTCAAATAAGGGCAGCGATATTTTTCCTTTTAGAAGAGCAGGACGAACTTGTTCACGTTTGAAGCATTAATTGTTGTTGTTATTACTCACATGGATGACAGGGCAGCACCTAAGGAACGCTGGGCTTGGTACAACAGGGCCGTGACTGCTGTTGCTGTGACTAAGGCTGCATGAGTTGGCTGGGCTGCCTGCTCACACCGATGCCAGCCCCACCACCTAGCTGTGGTCTATTTCCAGCTCTGCGGCCAGGAAATTCTTCTGGTGCTGCTCAGTTTGTATCACACCTCTCCTCTCAAAAGGCAGCAGCCCTGCTCGTGCTGGAGAGCATCTCAGTGTGTTCCTCCGAACCAAAGCTGCTCAGTGTATTTTCTTACCAGCCAGCGATAGCAGAGGTTGGCTGCAGCATTTTCTTTTCCTTTCTGCTTTAAAAGACACACAGGGGAAGCAGCTCTGACTTCCAGCTGTTGATTTCAGGTGCTTGCCACAGCGTGGCTCCTTTGGGTTGTTAGTGAGCCAGCACAGAAAAACAATTTCCTTCCAGCGTGTCCTTGCTCTACGACCAACCATTGCTCGCTGTTTCATTCTTAGACAACGTTTCTATTTATATTCCTTAATAATTTGCTAGGAGTGCCCTGGTGGGCGAGTGGGGTGACAAAACGGGATGTCACGTGTGTAGGTGGGGCAGTTGGGGTGGCATCTTCTCTGCTTTTTCCCCCAGCTGATTCCTGTTCCTGCTTCCCCCAGCCAGACCCATCACACGGAGCAAGAGCAGCCCAGCCCCGACAGGCCGAGCCACACGAACCTCGCAGCCCTCTCCCTCCCTCTGGGGCCACCTCTTCCCGGCTGCCGCTGGCCCGCAGCCCACTCCTCTGCCCCCACAGCCCCACAGAGGGTTTTGGTGCTCCCCCCTCCTGCCTCCCTGTGAATTCTCCAGCCAAAGGCCACCTCGGAAAGTTGGCCGTGCAGCACCTTGCGTCAGTCCCCGCACGGCTCATGATTCAGCAGCCGTACGGGTTTCGTACCTGGGAGGGCTGTGCCAGAAACCGCAAGTGTTCCTGAGCCAGGAACAGCAAAAGGAACTGGGAGTTTCCATGCAGAAAGCCGACAATGTCTGCAGCAGGTTTTCTTGTAAATTAGCTGCGTTACATTGCCAAGGGGCTGGATGAGAGGAGGAAAACCGGCATCTGGGTTTGTAAAGCCCAGAGAGCCCGAGCTCTTCTGGAGAACAGAAGTGACGCATTGCTGCTCTGAAGTGTGTTAAAAGGGAGCAAAACTCCTACTGGAAGTGAGGCTACAAAACCACGAAGGATTTGGGGAAAATCCCAGGCTGGGAGATCAATTACAACACTCCTGAGGTGCATGGGAGCAAAATGCAAACATCTCTGCAGGCGTCAGCTTGGATAGCATTACTCAAACAAGTGTTGGCACAGCAGCAGTCACCGCAGCGTGCGAGCCGCGTGTCCCGGTGCCAGAGCCCAGGCAGAAGGGCTGCCCGGCTGCTGCCGGGGCTCACCCGAGCAGGGGCATCTCCTGGCATCCCGCAATGCCTCCTGCCAGCCCCGGCTGCCGTCGAGCCAGGAACGCGTGCCAGCCGTGGCAAGATTGCTTCTCACTTAGCGTAGCAGGGGCTGGGACCCAGCCTTATTAATTTCATTCAGCCGTTGGCTCCAACGTGTGGAGCTGGCACGGAGAGCTGTGCCAGCGAGTGCTTGTGCTGCGAGTACAGGAAGCCTTGTTCCCTGCCTGCATCCTGCTCGTTTGCCGCCCCCTGCTCTGTGCAGGGATTTAAGAGCAATACATTTCGGTGCGGGGAGGAAGGGAAGCGCTGAACAGCTGAGGGCTGGCAAGAGAATAGCTGCTCTTTCACTCGGGGTTTGTGGCAGTGACGTAGCCAAGAGCAGTGGCTGGCGTGCAGCTGTTTGGGGAGAAGGGAGCTGTGAAGATGGGATTGAAGGAGTGGGAGGGAGGGCTGGCTGCTGCCGGGGCCGCGGGCCGTGGTTTGCGCCCAGGCAAAGTGGCACCAGCATAAATGAATGGAGAGGGGGCAGGGGGTGGTGGAGAACCAAGCCTGGTCTGTCCTCAGATGCCATCCTGTGCTAAATGAAAACATCCCTGATCAATGCTGATGTTGCTGAACTTCTCACCAGGCTGTTTTCTCTTCTGACTTTCCCCTCCCAAAGCAAGGTTTTCTTGTGTATCCAGCAGCGTGGGCTGCAGGCAGACACGGGGATCCCCTTGAACTGTGAACTGTGACGGGCACGGGAATCCTCCCTAAACAGCCTTCAAGTCGTTTTCCCGTCATGCCTGGATTGTGTTTGCCAGCTCCACAGAAGGGCTGCCTGGCTGTGATCAAACAGAAGGCTTAATGATGGGAGATGGAAACGACTGCTGCAGCTGTTGGTCGAGGAGGATCAGCACAGCAGTGGAGGTGGATTCGCGGGGAGCTGCGCTGTGCTAGAGGCAGGGGTTGGAGTGGGGCAGGAGGATCCGGCTGCGATGCGCACCAAGGTGTTTGGGGGTGATGTATCGGCTCTTCTGAGCCCGGGGGGACAAAATCTATGTGCACGGCTTCAGCAGGACTCTGAGCTCTGGCAGTATCTGGTGTGGCTTTGGAAAAGTTGCATTTGGTAAATAATTGGAAGCATAAATTGTTTACAGGAGTGAAGGATGGTGCTCTTGTCACTGCTGGGGCTTCCCTACCAGCTCCCACAGCACGTAGCTGAAGCATTACATCCTTTCCCTCGTGCCAGTACCCTCTGTTGTATGACACGTTTGATAGTGCAGTGTTGGGAAAAAAAAAAATACATACCTGGCACCCATCCAAGAGCTATTTATAGTATGAGCTCCTAAAAGAAAGTGTGAAGACTTCAGAAAAGGAGGAATTGCCAAATGATCCTGCAGAGAGCAGCAAATTAACCCCTACAACACTGCCAGCCTCACATCCTAGTGAGAGTCGGTCCCACGTGGCTTCCTGAAGGAAACACCACCAAGAACCAACGAGGGCGGCTCAGGAGTCCTGCACAAAACCACCACGTTACAGGCAGCAGCCTTGCAGAAGGTGATGCAAGCTTTTTGTCCTTCTGACCAATCCTCTAGAAATAAAGCCTGAGGAAACAAGACGATGTTCTCCTCTGACATTGGCATTGACGCTGGCATTGAAGGCGCCTCCATTAAGTGAGTAGGGATCTGTGCTTATGATTTTTTTGGTCTTCAGATCTCACTTGGTTTTGCCACATGCCTTAAATAAAGGCTCTGCTGAAGAGTAAAATACCTCCCTAGAATGACACCTGAAATAGTCACTGGTGGGGCTTTGGACTGGCTACCCCAATCAGGTAGATGCAACTTTTGCATCAAATATAGTTTCCCCTTTCACAAATCAGACAGCAGATGTTTCTCCAGCTTTGCCAGGAGCAGGTAGACAGAGATCTGCAGGGAAATTCAAACCTTAGTTTGTACTCTGCCTGGCCTGCTATTGCACCAGGGTGACCTTGGCCTCCCTGGGCTAAGGGAGGTCAGTACGTAATTGAGCACTGAACACAAATGTGTGAAAAAACAACAACAAAACACAACCCCAACACCAAACCAAGTGTTACGTAAGTTCTGCACGGAGCAGAGAGTCCCGTCCAGTACCCGGTACTGCCTGCGTCCCCACACAGCTCTGTAAACACCGCTTACGCTGTGTTTATACAACCCATGTGCTCCTTGCAATACCTTCCCTTGTTCCACCCGCCCAACTAGTTGGAACAGGCACTAAATTGTTTTTTGTTGTTGTTGCTTGCTTACTTTATACACCTGCAATTTCCTGCTGGGTATGTCCAGAGACGTTTTGTAGCCTTTAATTCAATACTATTCATAGATTTGATTGAGTATTAGTTAACTTCACAAAGCACCTTAATGGACAGTGTCTTCTTAATTACATATGGCAAAACTTAGAGAAACAAAGGAAAATTGACCCAATTTGTCCTAGCTGCTTTACAGAAAGCCCTTGAGGTGGCTGAGTATCACTTTCCCTCTTTGTTGTGTTTCATGCACAGCTCCTGTGGGTGCAGATCACACCTCCAGTCCCTAACTGTGCTTGCAGGATGCTGCTCCGTCTCCCTCCAGCAGCGAGCCAAAAAGCAAGATGTTGCTTATTGTAGACAGAAGGAGAAAGTTTGACTATGTCTTCAAGTCATCTGAAACAAAAATGTTCTGTTCTGTTCAGCTTGTAACGCTAGTGCATTAGAAACAACCAAGAAGCATTTTCCATAGCCATGCAGCTATGTCATGGCTCGGCAACCTGTATGGGTCAACATGTTCCCTACACACAACAGGAGCTGCCCCAGTCCCTGAGATCCGTGCCGTTTTCAAGGAATCCATCAGGTGCCGGCTGGCGCATTGGCAAGGTGTGAGGTACGGCCCTGCGTTGTCTGGTCGGACTGTGTTTGAATATCAGCTACACCGTACCCTGGGCGCAGCGGTAATTAGCAGAGCATCCCTGCTTCAGGCCCCAGTGGACAAGCATCCGCATGGCAACTGTGAGTCTTGTCGGCAGCAAGAGATTAAGGAATTAATTGGCAGGGTTAATCTTCATGTCAGGGCTGGAAATGAATTGTTAATTTGTTTGGAGGAGCGTAAAGTCCTGCCCCAGCGATGGCAGGTGGGATCGCTTGAGAAAAAGCCTGCGAAGTTGCCTTTCCTGGGGGCCTCTCTGTTTAACACCTTGTGCCAACAGACCTCCTGAATCTTCGCCCCTGCCGTGCTCGCCTCCCTGCAGCCAACAGCACAGTAATGGAAGAGGGACCACAGGGCTGGCTGCACCTCAGCAGGGCCCTTTCGAGGTACGGCTTCTCATCCTGCCCTAACTCCTGTGTGCTGAGCAGGTCTGATCGCTGAGTTGCAGGTAATGGATCAGGCCAAGCTGCTGTAGGATCTCAGAGTGAGGGAGAGATGTGCTGACACCAAACGCCACTGCTGGGGCAAGTGGTACCCCTTGGACACAGCATGCAAGACTTCTTATGTCTGCGTGGATACTGAAGCCTCTGACACTTGTTTCCTCCCCCAGGACGCTGTAGTGTGAGACTGTCGGATCAGCAGATGCTTTTCCCTTTCTGCTCTCATTTACCACTCAGGACCACAGACTACTTTCCATTTCAGTATCTTTCAAATCTGTTTAGGCTAGTGCATTGGTCACATCGTATTAAGATATATGATAAAAGCACTTCAGGGTTTAAATTATTTAAATGAAAATTTAACTTTTTGTCACTTGTGATCCCTTTTGTGCATTGATTAATCTAATTAGTTCAGCAGTAAGAATCACTTTCTTCTCACATTGTGGTCTGACCCGTTGGGACTGACACAACCTGCTTCGAGACATGACATCAAATAGGACTGGCCTATATGTAACCCTGGGCTCTTTCTGGGTGTACAACAATCCTGTTTAAGATTGCAGTCAAAATATTAATCTCTTGACTATTCTTTGGTTCCCACTGACAGCTCGTATCTGTTCTTTCATTTTCCCTGAACCAGGGCTGAAGAAAGTGTGTTGGTGTTTCCCATAAGCTGAGGTCCCGCTGTTCATGATGTACAGTCGCTGCAAGTTCCGACTGGAAGATGCCTACGACAGAAGGTCAGGTTGTGAGTAAGGTTATATCTGATAAGTTGGTTTGTGAGAAGTCTCTGTTTCTATACATGCAAGATATGTTCCTCACTTTTTCCAAAAGCCTTTGTGTGTGTAAGTATCGCACAACTGGGTACCGAAATGCAGGCACACCCACCTTCTGTTCTCTCTGGAAGTCAGTGTCAAGCCTCTCTCTCTGTGCCCAATATCTGGTTTATTGGGAAACTGATGCTGTTCCAAGGCACTGTAAAATAGCGGAGAGTTTTTTATGGCCAAAACTATTTGACTGGGTTTAGCCTACGTGTCTGCATCCTGTCTGCGTACATTGTGTGTCACGTCTGATACCAAGTCTTGCCAGTAAAACTCCAGGCCCCAGGGGAGATCAGCTGTTTTTGGTGTTCAGGTTAAATCCCCTCCCAGAGGACTGCTTACTGCTTCACCAGTGTCCTCTGGCTGACACTGACAGCTTTTCCTTCCCATGCTTCCCCTGTTTCCCCACTCCCACAGCCTCACAATGGACGGCTGCTTACCAGTTTCTCTGTCCCCCTTCTATTTCTACGACTAGAAATGCCCTTGTGTTGCTCTCCCCATCTCTGCGAGCATACCAAGGCTTGCAGCTGAAACTTGCATTACAAGCAAAGTGCCAACGAGCAGCTTTGCTGGAGATGGGAGTAGGGGAAAGGTGTCCATGAGAGGGTTGGGGTGCTGAATACAGCTAAAAGCAAAGCAGAAAGGCTGGTTCAGTGCTTGGGTGATGCGTTGTATCAGGCTGTAGCATTTGCTGAGTGGTAAATACCTAAAAATCTGCCTTACAGGATGCTTACTTAGGTATCCAACCCTTAATCTGACCACAGTTGTTACTTGAAACCACAAATAACAAAAAAAAACAACTGCCATCAATTGACAGAACAAATACGTGCATTTGTATAAAATCATTTTGGGCTTGTCTGCATGCATCCGATTATTTGTGGAAATCTAGTTTTAGGTGTCTGTCAAGCACCAGCACTTGCTCCTACTTTCACCTTGCATTTCGTGTTCTCCTCACCCTACAGGCAGCCAGATGGTTGGTTGTAAGCCAAAACTAAGAAGGATTTCCTCTTTTCTTTTGAAGGGATGGGTGCTCAGAGATTTATCAGTAATACAGTTGTACTTAATCAGATAGAGTCTGTCCTGTGTAACTAAGACAACCCACAGCATGTTGCTGGCATAAGCAGCTACTGTAGTGAAGTCCCACTCGAATTACCATTTTGCATTCCATGTCAAACTGCTTTTCATTTTTTGTCTTACTTTTGGTCAGTTGTCTTAAAAGGCCAGTAATGAAATGATGCGACAGTACAACTTCTGTGTAGTATATATTTTATATTAATCATGTTCAAAAATGATGAACACTACATAATTTAGAGCAAGACTGTCATCCCACTATGCTACATATGTGTAAAATTTGAGTATTAGAAGCGAATGACCAGGCTCATCACAGACCTAATTAGTTCTTTAGAGAACCTACTTTACACGCTAGCCTGTACTATCCCTATTGATGTTAAGATATTATATAATCAGCTTTAGGAAAATGCAGCAGCCTGAAAGGCTCTTTTTATGTCCCTGTGCTCATTCACTGCCTCCAAAGAGAGCACTGAAAAGCAGCCCCATTTTACTGGGAAGCAGGCATGTCTGCTTATTTGGGTCGAAAGTAGTAGAGCAATTGATTATCTTCAAATCAACTTGGGCTGGCAGCTGTGCTCTCCCTAGACTTCTTAATTGAGATCTGTAATACAGACTTAACAGGAGGAGCTAGATGTTCTCTTTGGGTGTTCAAATTGGACAGTGAAGTAATGGAACATGCTATTTTAAGAGTTTGGAATATGCCCCAGTTTGGGAGTTAAGTGAGCTCTCTTTCTCTGTATGTGAAGTATGCGTTTCCATTCAAACAGCAGAAGTGCCTGAGCTGCAAGCATGAGCCTGCAGCATCTCCTCTACCCTTGTATGGAAGGGCACATCATTAACTGCCTGCTTAAGCACTAACCCTTTTAATAGATAATTGTAGTGTGGCAAGAGAAATAGTCCCCTATAAAACTTAGCAATGGATGAAGTGCTGCTGTGAACTTAGTGCTATGTTAGTTTTGGTCTGGTGACCCTGAGTATCATCTTCCCCTAGAATTTTTGAAGGAGCAGTTCATTGTCTTCCCTCAGAAGTAGAAATAGGAAGAGAGTTGTTTTGTTGTTCAAACCCTTGGGAAGTAGGAACCTGTCAGTGATTTCATCATCTCATTTATGGCTTAGGTGTATTATACAGCAGATCAGTATCATTCAACGCAATTTGTCATCTTGTTTCCCCATGATAGGAGCTACTCCTTTAGTCAGTACTCTGGTTACACACTACTACATTCAAGTTTTTTGTTTTGAAGATCCCTAAACTCCCTGAGTAAAGAGAATATTCTCCAAAGGAAACAAAGTATCTACTAATAATACATGAGTTTTTCCTTTCAAAAACACCCCACTTACCCTTAATTATACAGGATGAATGATGTAAGATGTACACTATTAGTAGTGTGTTATTGCATAACAGCTATGAGAGCAGGCCCTGTTTGAAAAGTTTGTTTCAGTTCCTGTTTGGTAAAGCAGTGACAGATGAAGGTAAAGTTTCTGGCTCAGAGAACTAAGAGACCTACATCTGTTCAAAGTTCCCAGAATTCAGGTAGCTCTAGGCAGCACAGCTATTTGTCTTACGGACACTGAAACCACACTGAGGAGCACCATGCAGGTTTTACACTTTTATTAACAAAAAAGAGCCCATAGGGCTCATACATTAGTACAAAATACAATCATGTTCCCGTATGTTAAAGTTTAACAGCATTTTTTTTCTTTTGTCTCTTTTCAACTGTTTCACAGTTAAGTTATCAAAACAAACCCCCTGCATATTGAACTGATTATTGTGCAAACAGTATTTATTTAAAGGACCAATTTCTGCACTAAGCCAAGTGTCAGAGAGCAGAATTTGATCTTGTTTTCAACACCCCTTTGAAGGACCATGTGTGCTTCCTAAGAAACACAGTTTTTTTTAATTTTTTTTTTTTTTGCAGCAAACAATCTAAGGCCACAGTTTATCTGCAAGTAATGAAAAACAACTCAAAAAAAAAAAAAAAAGCACATCTTTACCCTTCATGCTTTTGTTTGCTTGACCATGTTTATACCAAACAACTAGCCAGGTAGCACACGTCACCTATCAGGTATTAAAGTCAAAAAAAAAAGCACCTAAATTTCTTTAAGCTAGTATTTTGAATTGTTAACATGCAAATTAATACACAGCCATAGTGTTTTTTAAGTAGCCAAAATGGTATCTTTTTAAGGACATTATGCTTGTTCCCTTTTCCAGGTACTGTAAATCCCGCATTGATTATATGGACTTGCCATCACTTAAATAAAAAGGTCTAAGGAGCTATATCTTGAGACTTAGGTTGAGAAATACTCATTTTTAGAATGTCCTTTGTAAAACATGCACTCAACTTTTGGTTAAAGCTGCATTTGCTATAGATGACAATACTTAAATTTGCAAATGAAAAAAACTAACTGCAGTTTCGAAATGTGAATCTCCACCAGCATGTCTTTTACACTGATGTAAGAGTGACTTGAGGTGAAGTGCTAGAAATTAAACAATGTGAGGAAGTCATACCAAAAGAAAACTAAAAATATATACCCATGTATGCCTGTAGAAAAAATTCCTGCTTCTTGAATGAAGACAGATTTCATAAAAAAAAAAAAGCATTCAAGCTTTTTTAAACTGCAGTTATGGATGAAATGAAGGAAACTATTACTATTCTTGTAGTTATCTGAAAGTACAAGGTTTTAACCCCAAACCTTTCTGTAAGACACATGGAGTAATTCTAACAGTTCAAGATTCCCTGTTGTATAAAGACTTGACTGTAAACATGCGTATTAACAATGCTGTGTTTCTGCTCCTTTAAGTGATCTGTTCGTGGTGGATTACTTATTCCAACTGATGCTTGGCAGGAAGCAAACATTCTACTTTAAATGAAGGCAGCAAAGGGCCAAGTAAAATCATGTGCCTTCGTTCTTAGCAGCAGCAAACTCACTGTTCTAAGTGACCTGAGGAAGAAAACATTAGAATATTGCACCAAAACAAAATTAAACAGCATAAACAAACAAGGAAACAAAAAACAATATGGATAGCAAATGACCAGTGCAGCCCCTGACAACAGATCTATAGACAAAAATGCAGGAGTAATGAGAAGCATTGTGCCAGTATCAGAGGATTTTGTTCCCCTGATGTCTACTTCCACTTCAGTTATAAGCTATATCTATTCTGGGTATATTTATGCTTCTCCCTGTGCCTCCAATCTCATTCACTGACCACAGAAACCATTTAGGGTCCCTTTTAGAATCTTGAAGCATGTTGGAGCTTTAACAAGACTTTTTTTTTTTTGTCTCAGCTCTGAAAATAAGTGAATTTCCAAAACAGAGGTAGGTTTATAAAGGCTTCTGAATAAATTAAGTGTTGTCCATTTTGCTTAGTACACCTGTCGGCAGAAGGATCTTCCCTTGCCATGCTTCCCCTTATCATGCTATCCGTAGACGTTAAGATCAGAAAAAGAACTACACAGTAGAAGAGGCCAGAATAATTCCCTTAAGAAAACCCTTGAAAGAGCGCATAGTGCATTAGCTTGTATCAAAGTTCAGTTTTCTTTTTACAGATTTGTATCTTTCATTCAGTAAACGGTTGCCTTCTTAATATTGCATAACAGTTACTCTGTCATCCATGATATCTTTAGAATCAGTAGAAATGATGAAAAAAATAACACTTCACAGTTAAAAGGGCAGGCTCTCATGAAACCAAGTTAAGCTAGAGTGAAGATTTTGCTCCACATTTTAGTAGCGTTCTGTTCTTGGATACAGATAGTGTGAAGCGGAAGCCCCTTGAACACTGGGGCATCATTTGGAAATATTTTCTTACCCTACATTCTGTTCTACTACAAAGTTCTCAACATCATAATTACTTGAATTCTTCCAGAGTGTCGAAGTGTAAGTTCTTTTTCTCTTCAGAAGATCCTTATATTTCCACTGTGCACTTTACGCAGTACGTTCACTTTTTAGAACACATTCAGTATTTTCCAGTACTTCTTATGTACCCCAAGCATAATTGTTCCTACAGCATCCTTTGTGCAGACTAATCCAGAAGATTCTCTTCCATCACCAAACGTGCTCATACCTCCTTCTCCATTTTCTTTTGCCTTTTTTGTACACAACCTTCAGTTTTGAAAAAGAAAACTGTCTCCTTTTTAGTTGCACTGTCAGCTGAAGCAGCAGAAAGGTAAGACATTCATCACAAGTCCTCTTCAAAGCATGAATGAGACAGGCTGAACTTCTTCTACATCGGTTGGATGTGGATCAACCTACAGAGAGAATGTCAACAATTACTGCCTATGATTCTTGCATTTTGGTACATCTTTTTTTGGCCATCTGACAGTACACACACTTAAGATTCAGCAGGGGCTTTTCAAAAAGCTTTTTTTTTTTGAAACCTTTTTGTTGTTTATTTTTTTACCTCTGAATAAAGAGGTGGAGGCTGAAACCGGAACTCTTGTATGTAAGCAAACACAGGACAACACAATTGTTCCTCACAGTCGATTGGTGGTGGATAAGCAGGAACATGTCTGGAAAACTCTTCCTCAGACACTACATCAGCATAATTTGGTGGTGCTGAAACACAAGAGATATTACAGTCTAATTTAGAAGTATTCACTCACAGCAAGACAGTATATGCATTACAGTTTCCAAGACTACAAGGTCCTGTTTATTAAACACTGTACACCGTCAAGTTGTATGAAGTGCACTATATTCATTAATATTCTATCTAGAACTTTCTTTTTAGTAATCATTAGTGATTCTACAGACATACTACTCCATTTAGGGCTACTCCAGCAACAAACCTATACTGTATCAAGATACACTCAGTAACTTTAAGGTGCCTACTGCCGAAGTAGAATTCCCACCATCAGAGGTTGGTTATTTCAAGATTCAGTTGCAAGCCAGATAGAGGTGGAGACTTAAGGAAAGCTGGAGCAGGGCATCCTTACCAATACTTGTGGATTTTGAGTTAGATTTGTGTGCCTCACTTCTCCTGAGTCATAATTTTAACAGTCTACATCCTTTACTGATCTAGTCCTTGAACTGCCCCTATTATCTTTCTGTTGTAAACAATACTATGCTGTCTTATGTGAAGTTCAATACGTTACCTTCAGGGTGTTCTGGTAGGGTTAACGCCAGCCAACTCATATCCACGCTAAACTGGCTGGTCATGCTGGAGTTTCTGCTTGAAAAGCTAATACATGGAATAGTGCCAATCACCAGAGGCATTTCAATCATCAATTTCTTAGCACCAGGAATATGAATATAAACCTGTGTGACAACAAAAAACAGAATAGGAATAGACAGGATTAAACCACAATGAATTGATGTTCCTAGAAACTACCATACTGCCAATGCTGCAGGTTGTTTAAAAACTAGGAGTTTCCTCATCAGATATGTTTAGCGAATACTCTGACAGCTTTCATTACTTTTTGACTATTTCCTTCTTTCTACACCTTGTCTAAATGACATTAGGAAAAATACTGAACAGGCTCACAAAAGTATTTATGCATTTGACTCTGTCCTACCTTCCCATTTCTGACAAGAATGACCAGAAAATCCCACTCAGTTGGAAATATTTTCCCCCTAATATCCTCTGCAGGTATAGAACTAGAAAATGTTTCTGAGGAAGCAGCAGCTTATTTTCCCCATCATTCCTATCCTTCAGTTTCAGAGTCTCCTCAGTACCTTCAGTCTCTCTCCTGTATACGATATTTATTGGTATTTATTGTTGTTCCCAAATTCAAAATGTAAAAGCTGCTCAGTAAGAAAGTTCTTCTCTCCCCAAATTAACGCAGTATTCAAGAGTTGCACAGGAGTTCCATATTTGCAAAGAAAATGAATACTTACAGCTAATGAGTATTCTACTCGAATAATACAGCAGTCAAGGATAGAGGGGGACACAGGTGGGATTTTCAGAGTTTTCCCATTCCAGGTATCTGTACTCCCCGAGGCAATATGGTTTCCTCGCACATTGGCGACCATCTGACGGAAGCTTTTTGTCTTCCCGCTGGCCAGGTAAGTTTGTGTTTGGAAAATGGCAGCTTTAGGAACAATCAAGCGGGAAGAGCAATTCTCAATTTCTGCATAGATTGGTATGGCTTCCCCTTAAAAACAGAGAAAGTTCAATAAATAATTGGTATTTACCAGCTCTCCTTTGGGAATATCAAAGCATGTTATGCAGCACGTACATCATCCACAATGTTACGAGAACAATACGTTAGTTTCCTCAAGCTAGTTTCTTTGCAGAGTGGTATTCAGGCAGAATTATAGCCACCTACTACATTTTATGTATAAACAATGATTCATTCATTTTGAAACATTAAGCACAACATGAACAAGCTATAAAAGCTTTAGTTGCAAATAAACGCACCAGTCTTCCTTTTATGTAGTGCTAACTCAATTCCAGAATATTTCATTTCCTCAAATCTATCTAATGTTATCAAGATGCCAAAGAAGCTGCTAAAGCTCATTCTTACAGAAGTGTAAACCTACACAAATGGGACATTAAAAATAAACTATATCCCCAGTTATGGTTTTACCCCATTAAAAGCATCTTGTTCTTCACATTCAGTGTACGTGGCTTTTGCTCAAGAAAGGACTTCCTTTCTCTTTATATTCATGAGGGGGGAGTGAGGGATGGGGTGAGAAAATTTTTCTTGGATGAATTCATACAGCTCTTTATTACCTCCTTAACAGAGCTATTCTTTTGACTATAAAGTGTCGCCTTTACAGAGATGAAAAATCCTATTAGATGTTTAATATTTACATCTTGAAGGGTGAAGACAACTCCTCTTACCATTACAGTATCCCTTCCTCTCAATTTTGGCACTCAGAGACACTGGCCCAGAGGTGAAAAACCAACAACCAACCATCTTCTCCTGACTTCTTAGAACAGGTGTCTATAAAATAGAGGAGTTGTTTTTTTTCATTTTATGGCATGAAATTATCAATCGCAGTTTAATATTAATGCATATCCATTATTGAAATTAATTCTGAAATCCACTTGGATTTGAATCTTTGTACTATGCAATGGAATTGGCATTTTGCCACCATTTAAAAAAGGAAACAAGTTTTAGCTATCTGAACACACAACTGTTTTTAAACAGCAGCTGGGATTCAAGATAGTTAAATGATTTACTGGGCACTGCCACCGAGTGACTGTAATCATGATGTCTCAAATTTGTGTAGTTTTGCACTTTTTTGGTGGTAGTCTGGTAATCCACAAAAACAGACACTGCCCACCAGATGACCCATTGCCCTCTCCTATGCAGTAACTCTTGGTCAACTCAACACCCTTTTTGCAGTAACTAGATGCACTGCCTTCACACTCGTAATGTGTTGCTGAATATAAGGACTACGTTCTGCTTACAGATGTCACTGCCAAAACACTTCCGTAAGTTCTAGATCTAGAGAGATTAAAATGTGAGCCAATAAAGAGGAAAAAAAAGAGTGCTCAAAACATCTAACTACGCTCACATCACGATGAAATGTTAAAATTATCCTAGCATTTTAAATAAAATAGAAATCACTTATTCATATTTAAATGAATAACCATTTAGATCCAGTTGCTATCATGAAAGTGCAAGGTATAATTTTATATTATTTTCATAATATGGGTTGAGATAAAAGAATCCAGCTCATTAGCTTCTATCTAGCCTATTTTCTCATTACTTAATGCCCGATCTTTCTTATTACTCTACAGTATTTCCAGTGATTATTAGAAGCTCAATGGTTTAATGTGGCCAAATCTGTCATAAGGAAATAACTGAAAAGATCTCTGAAGCAGCTGCATGCACACACTTCATGTTAGAAAACGACATGCAAAATGGAAGGATACGTAACATAATGGCCAGAGCATAAATGACAGGCTGGGCATGATTAATACTCTGCTATAATTACTGTTCCTCAACCTACTATTATTGAAGAGTTTAGGACACTGCAGCCCTATGAATGTAGTTACTCTTACCAGAGCAACTACTTCACACTCGTGCATTATTATTATTAAGCCTTATTTATGCATTTGAAGCCTGCATAACTTTTTGGCAAGAGCACCTAAGCCAGCAGGGTTGTAATCAATGGTATTAAAAAAAAAAAAAAAAAAAAGCCACTTTGTTTGCTATTCACACAACCTAAGATCATCTATTTATAGAGAAAAGCTTAGGGAGCTTATATGCATTCAGAAGTCAGAAAATGACACTCCGGAGTAACATGAAAATGGCTAGATGGCTGGGTGGTAACTGTTCATTTTAAAATTAGTTTTAATTTTTGCAGGTGGCCTTAAGGTAGGAAGGAGGAACAGAGGACCTGCTTACCAATAAAGCTGGTGAGTTGACGTCGATATGGCTAATGACCTGAAGCTCTGTCTGTACGCTTTGATCAGGTGCTGCAGGTCTTTCCAGAATTGCTTTCACGTAGTACTGAATACTGCCATACTTCCCAGTGAAAGAGGTCACCAGAGGCCTGAAACAAGCAGTCATAAAACCATTACCATCAGTTTGTAACTCAGTTGCAAACATGAACAGTTCCTGTATATGTGTTTACCAATTTACTTCTTGTACTTTTAAGGCCTTAGGGAAACTGTAACAAACAAGGCCAACCTACATGGAGGTTGATTAAGACAAACATATAAAGCTGAACTATCGGGTTGATATTAAGAAGCTTGAGTCAAATTACACTGAGTTGATGTTCCACAACAAGCAGTGTCCAGCACAATCCCTTCAGGTTGCATTATTCAACTTACTCTTGTGGGAGTTGAAAGCTGAAGGGAAATTCATGTCTTCCATCTGAAAGAACTAAGCTTTCCTCACCTGTAGAATAAAAACCAATAGTATATTTTAGTTATTCCAGAAATAGAACAAAGCAGAGGCTTTTATAAATTATTTATGACTGAAAGCACCCAGATGCAAGGAACCAGAAGAAGCTTTTACTGATCCCAGTGGGTTCTGGATGGGAGCCCACATTTTATTTATTCTGTGGTGTGATTTCAATGAAAAAAAATCAAGGAAGCACTGAGACCTTGAGTTTCAGTTCAGGATGCTGGCCAATTTCTAATCCAAAATGGCTTCTGGAAAGCACTGAGTTTCTTTTCTTTTGTAACAGGACTGCGATAAAGGAAGTGATTTAGAGAAGTGATTGTCCCTCTGTACTCAGCACTGGTGAGACCGCACCTTGAGTACTATGTTCAGTACTCGTTGTGGGCACCCTGCTACAAGGAAGATACTGGTTTGCTGGGAAGCATTTGAGAAGAGCAGTGAAACTGGAGAAGGGACTGGAGAACAAGACATACAAGGAACGGCTGCTGGAACTGGGGCTGCTGGGTCTGAAGAGGAGGCTGAGGGGAGACTTCATCGCTCTCTACAACCACCTGAACAGGAGGTTACAGCAAGGTGGGTGTTGGTCTCTTTTCTTAGGTAACACGTGAAAGGAGATGAGGAAATTGCCTCAAGTTGTGCCAGGATGGGTTTAGATTGGGTATCATGATGAATTTCTTCAGAGAAAGGTCAGTCAGGCATTGGAATCAGCTGCCCAGGGAAGCAATAGAGTCGCCACCCCTAGCAGTATTTAAGAGAAGCATGGATTTGGCACCTAGGGACATGGCTTAGCTGGGGACTTGGTCGTGCCAGGTTGATGGCTGTACTTGATGATCTTTAGGGTCTTTTCCAACCAAAATGATCCTATAATTCTCTGACAGCAGCTGATCTACTTATTCAATAACAATTAAGCTACCTTCTGTACTAAAAATATGCAATTTAAGGCCAGCGTTACTATTATTATTACTAATCTCAGTGCATTCTTAGAGGGCCTACTGTAGTGGAGATTTAAGGCCTAATAGTTACTTCTCCTACAGGTAAACTTGGGAAGTATTTCACCCTTACATGATGAAATGCCATTTCCCTTTAGTTCTCCAGTACTGCCCTAACGCTGCAGCATTTGTGTGATGGTTAAAGGTGCTTCTCTTAAGTCACTCCAAAAGCAAGCTGGCTGCTTGGGGAGCCTTTCACTGGTGACTTCAGGTGCTGAACACTCAGGTGCCTGAGGTAATTCGTGAAGAGGTAACCCACACACCAAACCCAGTGAGAACTGCAGGCTGTGTTTCTGGACCTGTGGCTCACGGTGCAGCAGTTCCTGCAGAACGGCTCAGGCTGGAGGGGGGCCTCCAACCCCATCTGGCTCCAAACCCTACCAGGGCAGGGCCACCACCAGCTGAGGGCCTTGTGGAGGTCCTGCCCACCCCCAGCCCGTCTGTGCAGCCTGTGCCGGCGCCTCCCCACCCTCCGCGGGCAGCATTTCCCCTAATCCCTACCCCAAATCTCTCCCTTTTCGCTCACCCGCCCCCCACCCCAACCCCCCCTCGCCTCCCCAGCCCCCCGGGGGCCGCTCCCCGCAGCTCCGCTCCCCCCCCAGCCCCCTCCCCGCTCCCCCCTCTCCCCCTCACCTCCGCGCGGCTCCCTCAGCAGGCTCTGCCGGACATCCAGGTACCGCACCTCCGCCTCCCTCCGCGGCCCCACCGGCCCCGCCGCCGCCGCCCCGCCGGTTCCCCCCGGGGCCGCTCCTCCTCCTCCTGCTGCCGCCGCCTCACCCCACGCCACCCGGGCCCTTCCCGCGGCTTCGAGGCGCAGCCCTCGGAGCGGCAGCGGCCCCGCCAGCTCCAGCAGCACCCGGCCGCGCACCGTGTCCCCGCTGCAGTAACCGCCCGGCCGCGCCTCGTCCTGCAGCACCAGGGCCAGCGCCCGCACCGCCCCACTGCTGCCGCCACCACCGCCGCCGGGCCCGCTCCCGGCCGCCGCCATCTTGGCGCCCCGGCTCCCCCCGGGCAGGCCGCGGCCGCCGCCGTCGGTGCCTTTAAAACCCGCCCGGCACCGCCGGAGCCCTCAGCGCCCGGCCCCGCCCCTCCCCTCCCGGCCGCCTCCCATTGGTCGCCCCGCGGCTCCCCCGCCTCGCCGCTCGCTCGCCCCCCGCTTGGTGGCGGCGGAGGGGGCCGCGCGTCACGCGGCGTGATCGCCGCCCTCCAGCCAATGGGGTAGGGGGAGGAGGCGCGTGGACAGCGCGGCGATTGGCGGGGAGCTTGCGGGGTGGCCAATGGAAGGGCGAGGCCGCCACGTGCGCGGCCCGTGGGTAAACAGGAGGGGAGGGGCCGGGCCGCGGGGAGGGGAGGGGCGGGGGCGGGGTGGGGGCTCCTGGGCGGGAAGGGCGGGGTGAGGGGTGAAGGAGGGGATGGGGATGGGGATGGGGATGGGGATGGGGATGGGGATGGGGATGGGGATGGGGATGGGGATGGGGATGGGGATGGGGGATGGGGATTTTGGGGGCTGAGGGTTAGGGGCTGGAGCACTGAGGGGGGCACAGCGCCATGGCGGGGCTCCGTCCTGTCAGCAGGGCCGGGGCAGGCGCTGCCGTGGTGGGACTGACAGAAAGCAGAAACTGAGGTAAAGTCGGGCGGGGCGGTGCCCCCCGGTTTGCCTCAGGGAAGCCGTGCCCGGCCCTTGTTCACCTGCCCGATCCCCTCCCTCACCACCCGGTGCCCGGCTGGGCCTCGAGCCTTCGGGCCGTGAGGTGGCTGTGCAGGGCCGCGTGCCGCTAGGCCTCAGCAGTGCGGCCAAAGCCTTTCCCTACAGACTCTGCACATCATACTCGTCAAATCTGCCCACACGCATAAAGCAAGGCCAGTTAGTCCCAACTCTGAGCTTTACACGTTTAGGAGAGCCCCCAGCACCTGTAGGCAGAGCAGCACCACGATCTGTGTCCGCAGGGGGATAAGGGCTGTGTGCTCAGAGCCATGGGCACCTGCTGCGCCTCACAGCACCACGCACGTGCCTGCACCAGCGGGTTACTGCAGTTAATTGAGTTTAGGAAGCGCCACGCTGGGTCATCGCCTGAGTCTGCAGCAGGGCCTCTCCCTGAAGGTGTGTGTGGGTAAGGACCTGCGGCGTTCCCCTCGCTGGCAGGAGGCATTGCCCTGCCCGAGTCACCCGCGTGCCCAACGCTGCCAGCAGCTGCTGCTTCCTGCATTTTTCCATCCCTCACGAGCACTGGAAAGGAGCAGCCTGGTGCTTCCCCGCTGACTCAGGTAATTACCGGAATTAGTAAAAAATGGCTTCTGCACTCAGAGCCTCGGCTTCTAACTGACGTGATGACCTCGGGGTTCCTCAGAATTCGTGGCATGCCTTTGTGATATCCTGTCCCCTGAAACCAACACTCACGTTCAGAATTACTTCTGAGAGGAAGAACTTGGCCTTGCTGAGGGCCACGTAGGCCTTTGGAACACCTTTCATTGGCTACGTGTGAATGCACGGCTTGGTGTTAATCAGTAATAACGTGGGGACAAGTAACATGATTCCAGATGGGCTGAATTCAGACTTTATCTGGATTGTTGGCCACAGGCTCCCCTGCTTATGGTGAAGAATTATGTAACTAAAGAAAAAAACGCTGTGATGATTTCGTTGAGTATTTGAACAATTTTTGGATGTTCAAGTTCCTTTGTGCTTTTTGAATTAGTTTTCACAGAAACTAACAAATATTTTTATCATATTTGGGAGCAGAGGTCTATTAAAGTGTTTCTAGTGTTTCTATCTTCGTTTTTTTTTTTTTTTTTTTTTTTTTTTTTTTTTAGTTAATCAAACTAACAGTGCTTTATTGTCCTGTTCCATATAACCCTTTTTCCATATATTAGCAAGTTTCAGGTTAGTTTTGTAGCAAGCCAACAGAATGTGCTTGGACAGATACGCACGTAAGACTATTTGCTAAATTTGCTTACGTACAATGCATTCAATTTCTTGTAACTGATTTTGAAAGTATTATAAGAGGTAAAAAATCAAAATTCCACATCTCCGTCTTTTCCCACGAGTTAGATCCTGTATAAAAATAATTAATTCTCTTTTAGGTATTCCATGCCCATTCAAATTTCACCTTCCATTATTTCCTTGCAAGTGCCAACGAGCTAGATAGGGCAAGGAGTGACCGTGGACAGTTGTGTATAAAAAAAATGCACAGAATCAGTGAGAGTTTAGAAGCTTGTATGACTTGAACAATTAGATCACAGAAGATACAGAGAGTAGGAACGCTCAGTCACAGTCAGATGCTACTTGTTCCAGATGTTTCTTTCCCCTTTGATAGGCTTTTTTTTCGGCACAACTTTAAGACCAAAACTTCCTTGTTGAAATTATCATGCGGTGATTGACTGTTTTCTCATCCACCCTTCTTGAGAATACTTTCTTGTGCATGAGACATTTCAACTGACCAACACTGTGAAGTCACAGCATGAATGATGGAAACTACCACACCACTATTTTAGTATCTGATAAGCCGGAAGGAAGGAAGGAACAGCAGATGAACACTCAGACTGTATTAGTGTACGTGTGACTGGATGCATGTGTGTGGGTGTATGTGAGAAAGAGCAAGAGAGATTCAAATGCTTGATTGTCCTTTCTATTCTTTTATTTTGCTACTTTATTCAGGACTATGTAAGAACTAGTTGCCTTAGCAAGCTAATTAACGTACGAGTTCTCCTGTAAGAGTAAAGAATACAGAAAGAAAGGTCTCACTTGAGCGTGCCCTCAAAGCTGTGATCAGCTCTAGCAGTGAGGCTGCAATCAGCTCTTATCCCGAAGGTGAAGGAACTAGAAGAACATCTTTCTGCAGCAGCTGGTAATATCGTAGCTCTGATGGTTAGTTGACTCCTGTGGTCAGATCACTGAATTTAGAAGTATCTGGCAGCTTAAGTTTCTAGACATAATCATTATTTGCAAATCATCTCAGTACACACACTGAAAATAGGCTATCAGGGCTGGAGCCTGTCAGAGGAACTTTTGAAGGTATCGTATGGATCCCAAGTCTGCACACAGAGAAGGACAGCTGATTAACAAGTAATCGTCTTCTGTGGAAGATAACAAGAGGAGAAGTGGTCTTAGCCACTTAGTGACTTCTGCCAGGAACATCTCTTATTTTTCAGGGATCCAAGCTGTAAGTGGGAAGGAAGTGGAAAACGTGGTCAGTGTTTGCTGTCCTCTTCCTACTAAAGACAACTTACGCTGAGCCAACACTCCTAATCATGAGTCATGCACCAGCACTAGGAGGTTGCCAGTTAAACCTTTCTGATCTTAATCAACAGCCTGGCAGTTCCAAGAGCAAACAGTTATTTCTGCTCCTGGAAGAGGGCTTTGAGAAGTGTCTGCCAACAGCTACATCACAAACTGTGGGTTTATTTGAAATTGCTGTACCATAACATCCATTCAGGTATCTTTCTTATCCAGTACCAAACATGACAGACACCACTAGTGACTACATGCTCTATAGTTCAGTAGAATAGCCGTGGGAAAGGCGTTACCTTAACGAGAGCCTCACAAATGCCCTCAACAACAGTTGTACAAAACATTGTGTAAACCATATG